AGCAAAGCCTGGCAAGCTACCCGTGACATATTCGATATGCCAAACACAGTAACAACAAGTCTCACAACAAGTCTCACAATTTGTTGTGAGACGTTACTGCTGCCCGCTTGAGCAAATCGATGAACAACAGGAGGACAGTGACATATATATATATATATATATATATATATATATATCTGTATATATATATGATACCTTGCTATATATTGAAGAAGTAATACTGTCACCATAATTTACTACTAAATTAACCTTTTTCAAGGGTATAATTACTTTCTTTCCACATCCTTTCCACTTCCAGCCCCTAAGAGAAACCTGAAACCCCTACCCATGGCATACAAGTTTTTACAAACTTGCTGAACCAGTAACTAGATGGATATTATTTTTTGTTTTTATTGTTGTTGGGGTTTTTTTGGTCTGTTTTTTTGTTTTTGTTTTGGGGGCAACACCCAGCAGTGTTCAGACTCCTGGCTTTGTGCTCATTCCTGGCAGGGATCATATGGGGTGCCAGGGATTGAAGTCAGGTTAACTGCATGCAAGGCAACACCTTATCTATCTCCTATCTTTCTGACCTCATGAAGTTATTTTTACAGATTTAAGGAGACTTCTTGTCTGTCTTGTGTTTTTGTTTTCTGTTTTGTTTTGTTTTGTTGCTTTTTGGGTCACACCCGGTGATGCACAGGGGTTACTCCTGGCTCATGCACTCAGGAATTACTGTTATTCCCGGAGGTGCTTGGGGGACCATAAGGGATGCTGGAAATTGAACCCGGATTCGCCGAGAGCAAGGCAAACCCCCTCCCCACTGTGCTATTGCTCCAGCCCTTGTCCGTCTTGTTTTCATGAAGGGATTTTTCTTAACCTTTGTTTTTCTGCAGAGTGGATAGCTTTTTTTCTTAATAAGAATTCTTCATGTATTAGAAAGAAAAATACTTTGTGTTTTTTCTATTTGTTTCTGTTTTTGTTTTTGGAGACACACTGTTTGCTGCTCAGGGCTTACAAGTGACTCCGCGCTAAAAGATCTCTCCTGGTGGTGCTCATGGGACCAGATAAAGTATCAGGGATTTGAGCCCAGGTTGTCTGCATTCAAGGCACGTGCCCCCTCCTTTGTGATTTTTAAAAGTCTGCTCTTTTTTCTTCTTTTAGTCTTTAACTGTATAAAACTTTTTTGGGGGGAGGGTCATTAAATTTGTCAGCCTCTAGGGCCAAAGTGATTTCTTCACATTAAAAATATCTTACTCTTGGGGCTGGACCGATAGCATAGCGGGTAGGGCGTTTGCCTTGCACGCAGCCAACATGACCGACACAGGTTCGATTCCCAGCACCCCATATGGTCCCCCGAGCACCGCCAGGAGCAATTCCTGAGTGCATGAGCCAGGAGTAACCCCTGAGCATCGCCGGGTGTGACCCAAAAACCAAAAAAAAAAAAAAAAAAAAAAATCTTACTCTTGTTTTTATTGTTATTGCGGTGGTTTGGGGGCATAACCCACAGCACTCTGGAGCTACTGCTGGCTCAGTGCTTGGAGGTCACTTGGGAGCCTCTGTCCAATCCCCAGATCAAAGCCAGGACTGCCACCTGCGAAGCAAGCACTCCAGTCATTAGCCTGCTCCTGGGATCTTGCTTTCCGTGTTTGAGGGACGTCAGGTGTCCTTCTGAATGTTGTGCTCATCAGCATTCTGTGATAACTATCGGCAAATCCTGTCATAAACAGTTCTTACTGAGGGGGCTGTCATGCTTTGTTGTGTTTGTCCAGGAAATAGTTTTTAATCTTTCCAAGAACTACATCTCTTGAAGTTGAAAGGATGACTCAATAGGCTGAGCATATGCGCTTTGCATGCAGAAGATTGGGCTCAGTCCCCGACACTAGTCCCCTAAGTACCACTAGCTGAAACGATCACGATCACGACCATCCTGTTATTCGTCGGTTGCTTCGAGCAGGCCCCAGTAGCATCTCCTTCGTCCTAGCCCTGAGATTTTTAGAAAAGTGCCAGATTCAAGGCTCTTTCAGAGTTAGGAGAATGAGACCCATCATTGTTACTGGTATTTGGCATATTGGGTACACCACGGGGAGTTTGCCAGACTCTGCCGTGTGGGCAGGTTACATTCGGTAGCCTGCCAGTTTATCCAAAGTAGGAATGAGATAATAAGATGTCATAATAAGATGTTGCTGAAACACAAAAAAGCAAATGTATGTATTGCCAGAAGTCCATTTAGTGTTTCCACGGTGGTTACCATTAAGGAACAGGAGCCATATGGAGAGCATTGTGCGTGGGGCATTTGCCTTGCATGCCATTGGCCCTGGTTGATTCCCCGGCACCCCATATTGTCCCCTGAGCCTGCCAGGAATGATTCCTGAGTGCAGAGCCAGGAGTAAGCCCTGAGTACCACTGGGTGTGGCCCCCAAACTAAATAAACTAAGAAACTTAAACTCGTGATTTTGAGTCATTCATTCATTCCTTTGTGAAAGCTGTCTCAGCTTGTCTTTTTAGTTGAGAGTCATAGTCATTTCCTGTGGTCCTCAATATGCTGGGCCACATGCTTTGCCTATAGGAGCCAGGTTTGATCCCCAGCACCACAGGTCCCCTGAGCACCGTCAGGAGTGATCCCCGAGCACTGATTCAGGAGTAACCCCTAAACACTACTGACTGTGGCTAAACTACTTCCCCCACCCCATGGCCTCCCCCCACCCCCCCAAAAAAAAAGAATCACTGTACAACTCTAAATTGTTCTGTTTACTTTGATCAAGGAAGAAGAACTATAGAAATAGGCTCCGTTAAGGACTGAACTTTTAAAATTTGAAACTGCTTAACGTCAGAAAGGCGTTATTTTTTTTATTTGATTTGTCCTGTGCGCGAAGGCCTGGGTGGGGTGACGATGTCACATGGCTTATTAGCACCCGGCCTCCTCCCCTGCCGCCAGAGGAGCTGGCCATGAGGAGCGCAGGAAGCAGAGCTGGTTATGGCAGTGGGCCGCATTTGTTGTCAGTTTGTTCCAGAGACTCTAAGACTCTAAAAACTGTATTTGGGAGACTGGAGCAATGGAGCAGTGGACAGGGCTCTTTCCTTGCACACAGCCAACTGGGATTTGGTCCCTGGCATCCCACATGGTCCCCTGAGCCCTCCAGGAGTGATCTCTGAGCACAGACCCAGGAGTCAGCCTTGACCACCACCAGATATGACCTTAGAACCACAAATATATAATAGATTTGGGGGGATGGAGAGAGAGAAAGTATAGGAGGTACAGTGCTTGCCTTGCATCACATGTGGTCCCCTAAGGCCTGCCAGGAGTGACCCCGGGCTCAGGTGGAGTAAGCTCTCAGCACCACCAGTGAGACCCAAACAACAAAATAAGTCAATAAAAAACAAATTTACAAAGGATATTGTGGCCCTCTTCTGACAGGCTCCGTCGTTTATCGTCAAGGCCTCGGTTATTCCAGGGGATTATGATGTCTGGGGTTGGTGGGGGAAGGCAGCCCGTGGTACAGTAAGCTTTGGCCAAGGCAGTTCTGCTGCAAATGCTGTCAGGGCTTAAGGGAGACCTTACCCAGACTTTTGGACTCTCAGTCTGTGTGATGCTGCTTTTCTCATATTTTTTTTCCCCTTCCTGTTCTTCCATTTGTCAAAGCCGTATCAAGGTAGTACCGCCTGCTAATGGGCCCTGGGAGCTCCACATCATTCCGGCCCCTGCCAGCTGCCCCTCTCCCAGTTATAGGATAGGGCAAAGCTTTGATCAGCTGCCCTCTTCCCTGAAGTTCCACTCCAGTAATTGTGATCACTTGCATCATCCAGCCGCTGGAGGAGTTCACACAACCCTCACACCCCAATCAGGGAATCAGGGGCCACTTACCTCTTCCAGACCCTTCCCTGGGAAAGCAGGTTTCCTTCCAGGCAGCTGGAGTCGAGGTCAAACTTGTTTGGCCTTGTGACTTGCTGGGACGGGAAGTTTGGGGAAAAAGGAGCGGAGAAGGCAGTTTTAACGGAGCAGAAACACTCGGCAGAAACCATCCCTTTCTGCCTCCATGGGGCGTGTCCCTCTGCCGGGCATCTCTTCAGGATTTCATTCCTGCGTCCAACTGCCGTTCACAACTGTCCTTTCCAACGGCTCCAGAACTCTTGGCCCGGGCATTCCGTGATGTAAATTATTCCACGCATGGCTCGAAATGGGTGCGAAGCTGGGTTGCCAGGTGCCGGATCACTAGTGTAAGTTGACTGGATCTCGGGGGAGGGAGAGGCCGGGGAGAACTGCTCTTGGAATTTACACAGTGTGTGGCTGTTAACCGCCTCTGCACACACAGTGCGCCGGCCTGGTGCTCTCGGAGGCCGAGGAGAGAGGGAGCACAGGGCCCCGAGCGGGGCTTCACCAAATTTGGCTTCAGATCATCTAGTTTAAAGATTCCAGCATTGGGCTCTAGATTATTTGGAACCGAACCGCCGGCAGTGCTGTGTTGAAGGAGGAACCTGGGAGCGTGTTGGGTGCCCGGAGTTGTGCTGCCTGCCACTTTGGTGGCTCCTTTGGCCACCAACGGGAGAGGGAACTGGCTTTTGTTGCTCCCTTTTTAAAGAGAGCCGAAATGTGGCCAGAACTCAAGCTCAGCATGAGAGGAAACAGCCGGGCACGGACTTCAGAGACCTCTGGACCCAGGGGAGATTTTCCTAAAACAAATGTTTCCCGTCGCTCTTTGTTCATTGTACATGTTGAGGACGTCACCGTGCCCAGCCTGCGGCTCCCGCGGGACACTGCGTGTGAGGGGGCCGCCACCAGCTGTCTGTGGGTTTGTCTGCCTCTCTCTTTGGCTCCTAAGTTAAGGATTTGTGTTCAGGAAAAGCAACTTCAATTGAATACTTGATCAGACCGGCGACCCCAGCAGCGTTTGATGTCACACTCATAGTAGCCAATTAGGGGAAGGCTCACATCAGTTTAGTATTTACCAGGAAAGCGCAAGGGATATTTTTGTGCTGGCTTTCCTCGGCATTGCTGAAATCATGCTTTCTTATTTTTTTTTTCCTTATAGTTGTCATGGATGATGATGATGACTCGTGTCTCCTTGATCTTATTGGGTAAGATACTCCTTCCAAAATCAGGGTAGAACTAGTGTGTCAGATTGGTTGCACCACCAGCCTAAGAAGCCAGTTACAATAGAGCGGGGAGGGGACTGGGTCCATAGTACCACAGAGTACCACCCCGGGGCACTTGGCTTGCACACAGCCAAACTGGGTTCAGTGCACAGCACCCCATAGAGTCCACTGAGCACGCCAGGAGTGATTCCTGAGAGTGCAGAGCCAGGAGGGAGTAAGCCCGCCCTGAGCATCACCCGGTGTGGCCCAAAAATAAACATTCAAACAAATAACCAGAGTGATTTGTTTTCTTTTTTCCATTTAAAACAAATCACCATAAGACCCAGGTGGCTCAGTGGACACGAACTCATGGTTTACACCAGGAGGCTGGCATCCAACCCCTGGAGCCACCTGATCCCCTGGAGCACCACAGGGAGCAGCCCCCACCCAGGGAGTTAGGAGAGGCGCCTGAGCACTGCTGGCAGTGGCCCCCAAACCTAAATGAATAATAAAAATGGAATCAGAGAAAGAATAGGGAGACAGAGAGACCTGGATCAGTTGATACAGGGATCATAATTAGGTAATAATTTATTCAACTTACATTGTGACAAATTTCCAGTGGCACTAATGAGTGATAGTATAAAATGGAACGACATCAGAGGAATAAAATATAGAGCTGCCTGGGCCGAAGCAGTGGTACAGTGGGTAGGGCGCTTGCCCTGCCTGTGGACGACCCTGGTTCAGTCTCTAGCATCCCAAATGTTATCCTGGGCACTGCTTGAGTGCATAGCCACTTGTAGATCCTGGAGCATCACCAGCTGTGGCCCAGAACAAAAGCAAAAGTACTGCTAATGAAACTGTTTTGAAATAGGGAGAGAAATTATTACCTTATGAGCCAAAGGAACCCTAGCTATGTCATGTATTTATTTGTTTTCCTTTTTGTTTTCTAGAGACCCACAAGCATTGAACTATTTTCTACATGGACCTAGTAATAAATCTGTAAGTACTTTTTAGAGTATCACAGATGTACATTGCACATCCTCCTTTATAGCTTAGTAATCACTATTGAATTTGTACCTTTGCAGAGCAATGATGACTTGACTAATGCAGGATATTCTGCAGCCAATTCAAATTCAATTTTCGCCAACTCTAGTGTGAGTATTGGAAACAACGTGATGGTCAAGTGTTTGTCTCATCAGTACCTTGTGAATTGAGGCTTAATTGCCCTTGTATAATGATGAGAATCTTTGCGATGAATACCTGTGGGAAAAGTACTGCATTTGGTTGTTATTTCTACATTTGGGGGGAGGGGTGATTTTTTGGTTTTTGGGCCACCCCCAGCAGTACTCGGGTCTGACTCCTGGTTTAGGAATCACTCTTAGCAGTGTCTGGGAGGACCATTTAGGATGCTGGAACCAAACCTTGCCACATGCAAGGCAAATGTCCTACCTGTTCTAGTGTCGCTCTGGTCCCCATTTCTATATTTTGTCAGTTAAGACAGCCTCTATGAGATATATATGCCAGTTTCCCCAAGCTTCCAACTTTATTTCTAAAGTGATTCAGAAATGCTAAAACCTGAGAATTTGCAGTTCATATTATAATGTTCTGAATCATTTTAACCTAAGTTTTAACAATTTTTTTTTTTTTTGGTTGGGGATTGATCACACCCAGCGATGCCCAGGTTATTTCTGGCTCTGCACTCAGGAATTGCTCCTGGATTAGCCACACTGCTGTTGATGGACCACATGCAAGACAAGCGCCCTACCCACTATACTATCACTCAGGCCCCAAAGATCTTATTCTTAATTGTAGCTACTTTCTAAATATTTTTTCTTCAGGAAAAGAAAGTTATAGTAAACTTTTTAGTATTTTATACTTATTTCATTTCTTAGAGAGTTTAACACATTCAACTTATTAATTCTAATAACTCAATGAAGCATATTCTGTTGTAATCACTGTCTTATTGATGAGGAAATTAAAACCCAGAAAGGTCAATACTTGCCCACTATTACACAACTAGAAACACACCTCACTTATGCCACCAGGAGCTCATATTATTAAGCTCCAGAAACATCTCAACAAGTCACAGCTGACTTTTTTTTTTAATTTCTTAGATGAAATGATAGCATTACTGTGTTTAAGCCTGTGTTCCTGTAATCATTTTAGCTGCCTTATTCTACAGTAGTCTGGAGTAGGCTGACCAGAGAGGAACCTTAAATGTGTCACCAAGTTTCTAGTTAGGCTTGACCTTAACAAGGACTAAGGCACTTGCCTTGCAAGCAGCCAACCCTAGTTCAATCTCCTGCCCCCTGTGAACTCCCGGGCTCTGCCTGGCCTGACACTTCAACACAGAGCCAGGGAAGACTCCTAAGCACCACCAGGTTTGACCCAAACCTCTTGCCCTGGCACAAAGGCTTATTTTCCCTGTTTATAAAACCAGAAGAATTGCAGAACTACCTCCTAGAATGACTTAAGAGTCGTTGACCAGTCTTGGAAACTACTTGTATGATGTTCAGCAAATGTAAACTTACACTAGTGCCTTTACTTCGATACAGTGGAGCAATATTCAGAAAATCCTTGTGAGTTCAGGATTCCCAACTGTTGGAAAAGTATAAGGTGTCAAATCACCTCCACGTGCTAAAAGTATGTTAAAGTACTGGAGATAGGGCATTTGTCTTGCACACAGCCAAACCTGGTTTGATGCCCAGCATCCTGAAGGGTCCTCTGAGCGCTGCCAGGTGTGATCTCTGAGTGCTGAGCCAGGAGGAAACCCTGAATGTCACTGGGTATGGCCCAAAAACCAAAATAAAACGTTTATTTAAAAAAGATTTCGGGGGCTAAAGAGACAGGAAAGTGGGTAAGATACTTGCCGTACATGTGGCTGACACGGGTTTAATCCCCAGCACCACACATCGACCCCTAGGCTCTGCCAGGAGCTCAGTATGATCCCTGAGCATAGAACCAGGAATAAGCCCTGAGCATCACTGGGAATTTAAATTTTCACATTTAAAAATGTATAAAATGATTTCTGCCTTAATCATTTTTTAATGTATGTTTCAATAGTGTTAAGTATTTTCACTTATTAAATAAACTTGACTTTAAATTATAATTCTGTTAATTCCATATTCTCGTTTTGGTTTTAGGGTGTTTTTTTGTTTTGATTTGGTTTGGTTTTTTGGTTTTTGGGTTTTTTTGTTTTTGTTTTTGTTTTTTGGTTTTTTTTTTTTTTTGCTTTTTGGGTAACACCCGGTGATGCACAGGGGTTACTCCTGGCTCTGCACTCAGGAATTACTCCTGGCAGTGCTCAGGATGCTGGGAATTGAACCCGGGTTGGCCAAGTACAAGGCAAAAGCCCTACCCACTGTGCTATCCTTACAGCCCCAGGGTGTTTTGTTTTTTATCAGTTTGGGGACCACATTCGACAGTGCTCAAGGTTTAGTCCTGGCTCTGTGCTCAGGGATCACTCTTGATGAAACTTGGGGGACCATATGGGATGCCAGGGATCAAACCCAGGTTGCTGCGTGCAAGGCAATCACCCTACCTACTGTACTATCACTCCAGCCCCCTGAAATTTTGTAACCTTTTTATCATTTTGACATGTTCTATGAAAAGCTGCTGGCTAGTATAGTGTAACATACTTGTAAGTGATTGTGTTCGGTTATCTTTTCATGCCTGTGTTGTGGAGATACGGCTATTCCTATTCCTTAGAAACTCCTTGTGGGGTGAGGCCAGAGCAGTAGTACAGCTGGTGGGGTGCTTGCCTTACATGCAGTGATCCCCAATATCACATATGGTCCCCCAAGCACTACCAGGGGTAATTCTTGAATGCAGAGCTAGGAGTAACCCTGGAGCGTTGCCAGGTGTGGCCCAAAAACCAAACCCCCCCCCCCAAAAAAAAAGAGAAAACCAACAACAACTCCTTAGAGGGGCTAGAGTGACAGTTCAGTGGGCAGGGTGTTTGCCCGTTTGACTTCAGTACTTCTTATGGTCCCTGACCCCCGCCAGGAGTGTGTGCACAGAATCAGGAGCCCTGAACACTACCAAGTGTGGCCTCAAAACAAAACTCCTTCGTAAGGACCAGAGAGATAGTCCAGAGGAGTTAAGACCCTTTGAGGCTGCCGGGCAGTGACCCCTCAACACAGAGCCAGGAGCAGCCCCTGAGTGACCCTGGGTGTGACTTCCACACCTCCTGCCCCCAACAGAACCTCCTTAGGGATGGACAGTAGCACAGCCAGGGGACGAAAACTGTTACTCAGCTTTACTTGTGAACAGGATACTGAAATCATTGAAAAAGCATCCAGTGAGCCATTTCTGAGAAACCAAATGGCCATTCACTCGTTTTATGTAAGAAATTTGTTTTTATCTGCCCCTGAGGTGCCGGCGGGAGTAGGGGTTAGATCTAGGGGGCTCTGGCCCCCTGGCCTTAGATGAAATCAAATTCCCCTTCCTCTTGAAGTGTGGTAGAGTCCAGGACTACTTTGATCTCACGATGGAGAAGGCGAAAGTGAGCCTTCGAGATGGACAGACTTCACTTTCCCTCTTAGAGTGCTTGTTTTGGAGTCCTGAGTGGCCATGCACAGATTTGGTCGTTGCCAAGGCTGCATGCTGTTAGGGAGTGCAGGATAACCCTCTGGAGAGGCTGCCTGAGCCTGGCACTCATCCAAGCATGGGGCAAGTGAGGAAACCCACAGAGGTTCCAGCCTCGGTACCGAGGCTTGAGCCAGGGAAGTGTCGTACAGTTGGAAACAGCCTGCCCACAGAACCAGGAGGGTTTGTAGGCTATTTATTTGGGTTTTGTGAGGATGTGAGGAGCCAAACCCTCCGGTGCTCAAGTCTAACTCCTGACTGTGCACTCCGGGATCCCTCCTGGTGGCATCGAGGGACCATATGGGGTGCCAGGCCCACCACGTGCAAAACCAATTACACTGCCCACTATACTTCCACTTCCCGGCCCTGAGGGATTGGTCGTTTTAAGTTTCCAGATTTGGAGGTAATAACAATATGCAACTGGAAAGTGCCCCTGCTTTGACTCTCTGGGGGGACTAGTTTCTCCTCCCCTGCATACGTGCATACATGCAGAAATGCCCCACTCTGGCACAGCTGAAGCAGTATATGCATATAGTAGAGGGCAGATCGTTCAGTGCTAAGCAAACGAGGGGAACATGCTTTTAATTTGCTGTGTCTGCAGTGATGAGATGATGGTTGCATGCATAAATAAATGAGTGGTAGATTAATCATTAAACACATAAGGCAAGAGTAGACATTAAATGAAGAAACGTTTAGTTCAAGTGTTTCATTCGTTAAGTAAAATTGTATGGCCAGAGAGATGGTATAGCGGGTAAGGCACTTGCCTTGTACGCAACCAGCCCAGGTTCAAATCCTGGCATCCCCTACGCTCCTCCAAGCCTTGCCAGGAATGATCTTGGAGCGCAGAGCCAAGTATAAAGCCTGAGCCATATGTAGCCCCTAAACAAGGTAAAGATAATTTTTTTCATGTTATTAGTTATAGAAAAATAAACATGGGATGCTGAAGCACAAATTTACCTACAGTTCTGACTCCTGTGCTCTAGTTTCAGACTATAATTGGGTCTATAGCCCTTTTCAGTGTAAAATTAATCTGATACCATTTTAACAATATTTCAGTCTTCATCTAATTCTTTTCACTGGATTTTGGAAATTTGAAAAATAAAATTTTATTTTGGAAACAATTTTGAGGGGAGGAATCACATCCAGCAGTACCCAGGGCTCCTTGCAGGCTCTGTGCTCAGGGCAGGCTCGGGGGACATATGTGGTGCTAGAGATGAAATCCAGGTTGGGTGCATGCAAGGCGAGCATCTTACCCCTGTACCATCTCCCTGGCCTTGAAGTAGAATGTCTTTTTAATTTTGAGAGGACACAGCTAGAGCATTCTTAGAAACAGGAAAGACAGGGATGGCTCTCTTGGCTCTGGTCAAGCCACACTCAGAACTTCTCACTCTCTGCACAGCACTGGCCGTGGCTTTCCCGGGATGAGTCCCATGCAAGCTTTGGACTGGGAGCCATCCTGGGCAATCAAGGCTGGGCCAGTATTTCACAGATTGAAGCCGGCCAGAGAGCCATCTCCGTGGGCTCGGGTGTACGCCTTGCATGCCGAGACCCCCTCCCATCCTCAGCACCACATGGTCCCCCAAGCCCAGCCAGGGGCTACCCCCAAGCACCATGCTGGGAGTAGCCCTTAAGCAATGCTGGATAGGACCCCAAACCAGATTTTTTAAAAAGGAAGAAGCTAAACTCCAGCTAACTTATCAATATATTCATGTTGCCCCTCTGATTCCTGTAAAGTAATTTCCCAGAGCGGCAGGAGTGATAGTACAGGGGTAAGGCACTTGCCTAGCATACGGTTCCCCAGCAGCCCATATGGCCGCCGTGCACACCACCAGGAGTAATTCCCGAGTGCAGAACCAGGAGTAACCCCTGAGCACTGCCTGGGGTATGACTGAAAAAGGGGAAAAAAAATTCTCAGAGCAGTGAATGCATATTCTTTCAAAAATAAAGTCATACACTATTCCTAAGGAAATCGGTGTCAGAGTAAGGTGAATGATTGTGCCCATAAAGCAGATGGTGCTGGGGGCTGGAGCGATAGCCCAGCGGGTAGGGCGTTTGCCTTGCACGCAGCCAACATGGCCGACCCGGGTTCGATTCCCAGCACCGCCAAGAGTGAGATAGAGAGAGGCCTTTTGGTTTGTTTGGTTTGGGGGTGTTTGGGGGTTTTTTGAAGAGTCTCGTTCAGAGGCTGGACGTGCATTCTAATGTACCGCTTATCTTTTTAGAATGCTGATCCCAAGTCGTCCCTCAAAGCTGTAAGCAGCCAGCTTGGAGAAGGGCCCAGTGACGGACTGCCTCTCTCGAGTAGCCTTCAGTTTCTGGAAGATGAACTTGAGTCTTCTCCTCTCCCTGATCTCAGTGAGGACCAACCTTTTGACATCCTTCAGAAATCCCTGCAGGAGGCCAACATCACTGAGCAGACTTTGGCAGAAGAGGCGTATCTGGATGCCAGTATAGGTTCCAGCCAGCAGTTTGCACAAGCTCAGCTTCATCCTTCTTCATCAGCATCCTTTACTCAGGCTTCGAACGTTTCTAATTACTCAGGGCAGACGCTGCAGCCGGTGGGGGTGGCCCACGTGCCCGTGGGCGCGTCGTTTGCGAGCAGCACCGTGGGCGTGCAGCATGGCTTCATGCAGCAGGTGGGCATCAGCGTCCCCGGCCAGCACTTACCCAACAGCAGCCAGATCAGCGGCTCTGGTCAGATCCAGCTAATCGGGTCTTTTGGCAACCAACCTTCCATGATGACTATTAACAACCTCGACGGCTCTCAGATCATACTGAAGGGCAGCGGGCAGCAGGCGCCGTCGAATGTGAGTGGAGGGCTCCTGGTCCACAGGCAGACCCCTAATGGCAACTCCTTGTTCGGGAACTCCAGCTCCAGCCCCGCGGCGCAGCCCGTCACCGTTCCATTTAACAGCACAAACTTCCAAACGTCTGTCCCTGTGCATAACATCATCATACAAAGGGGTCTCGCACCAAATTCGAACAAAGTCCCGATCAATATCCAGCCAAAGCCCATCCAGATGGGGCAGCAAAATACATACAACGTGAACAGTTTGGGGATCCAGCAGCACCATGTGCAGCAGGGGATCTCCTTCGCCTCCGCCAGCTCCCCGCAGGGCTCGGTGGTCGGGCCGCACATGTCCGTGAACATCGTGAACCAGCAGACCCCGAGGAAACCGGTCACCTCGCAGGCAGTGAGCAGCACGGGCGGCAGCATCGTCATCCACTCGCCCATGGGCCAGCCGCACACGCCCCAGAGCCAGTTCCTCATACCCACGAGCCTCTCCGTCAGCTCCAACTCGGTCCATCACGTCCAGACCATAAACGGGCAGCTGCTGCAGACCCAGCCCTCGCAGCTCATTTCTGGCCAAGTGGCCTCGGAGCATGTCATGTTGAACAGAAACTCTTCCAACATGCTCAGGACCAACCAGCCCTACTCCGGACAGATGCTGAACAACCAGAACACCGCCGTCCAGTTAGTGTCCGGCCAGACGTTCGCCACCTCCGGCAGTCCGGTGATCGTCAACCACGCCTCCCCGCAGATGGTTGGCGGGCAGATGCCCTTACAGCAGGCATCCCCCACGGTGTTGCACCTGTCGCCCGGGCAGGGCAGCGTCGCCCAAGGAAGACCCGGCTTCGCGGCCATGCCCCCGGTGCCCAGCATGTCCGGACCCTCCCGGTTCCCTGCGGTCAGCTCCTCCAGCACCGTCCACCAGAATCTCGGGTCCGCCACTCAGTCGGGGGCGCCAGGATCCAGCTTTACCCCCGATCAGCTTACCCCACCCAACAGGACTCCAGGGCCGGGCACTGCGTCTCACCGTCTTCCGGTCTCCACTTCCAAGTCCACCAGCACCTTCAGCAACACGCCGGGCGCAGGAGCCCAGCAGCCGTTCTACTGCCAGGTAACGTCTCCTTTCCCTCGGGGCACAGTCGGGTGAGGACCAAGTGGAAAAGGCGGGGATGCCTGTCGGGTAGAAGATCTTCTTCTCCTCTGCGGCCCTCCAGGCAGCTTAGCCGTTGGAACGTTAGGACCCGCGTCTGTGTTTCATTTTTGTTCTTGCCTTCAGCTTTGTGTGGTTGTGGAAGGAGGAGAGGCTAGAGCAGTGGGGAGGGGGCTGGCCCGCAGGTGTGGAGATGCTGAGAGCTTCAGGTTCAGTGAGTGGGCTGCAGACAAGCAGCTGGACACAGGGGTAGGAAGGCCCAGTCACACTCGCAGAGGTTGAATCTCAGCCCTCTGACACAGCACGGGTTAACTTCCCATCCTGGACTTAATCCTCACCTCTGGAATGGAGCTGCTCCTACTGTGTCCTTTGGAACTAGGGGACCGTCGAATGGTTCTACTCTACCTAACGTCCTTGGCATGTACGCTAGCCAACACTCCGTAAGAGGCAGCATTAGTATCTTATGGGTACTTGAAACTAGGGCTCACTGGGCCAGAGAGGGTGGTCAGTAGGCTGGAGCACGTGCTTTGCTTGCAGGGGGCCTGGTTTGAACCCCGGCAGCACTTGGTTCTGAGCACCGGCAGAAGCCGCCTCTCACAAAGCCAGAAGTAGCCCCTGAGCCCTGTCAGGTGACAAATTAAAATCTGCTTCAGGTTATTTACTTACAAATCCTAGAGCGTGGCACTGGGTCTTCAGAACCCAGAGTAGGTAGAGAAGAGGATTACTTCTTGGGTGCTCTCTGGAGGCTCAGAGACTCAACACGGGGTGACTCAGCTGTGGGTGACGGGCTGGCACCCAGGGGACACGTGGAGCAAACTCCTGACCTTGATGCCACCTTGTCAGCGTGGAGGTTAGTCTCTTCCAGCCTTCAGATTCCCACGTGGATCCTGGATCTAAAATCACCTCAAACGGTTGCAGCTTTGCTCCCTCCTCCCAGTCCTTGGACGCCTTGGCCTTGGGTCCTTGTCGTTCTGAGCATATTCGCCCATTCCAGGCCCTCCTCTTCCCACTGAGAACCCCAAAGACACGAAGCTTGTTTATGATCCAGGATGCATCAGAGGTGGATGAGCAGTGTCAGAGATAGTGTAGGAGTTAAGGCACTGACCTTGCACATAGCGGGCTGGGATTCAATTTCTGGCACTACATAGGGTCCCCCAAGCTCCTTCAGGAGTGATCCCTGAGCATGGAGTCAGGAGTAAGCCCGGAGAACAGCCAGACATGACCTAAAAGACAAGGGGGCCAGAGAGATAGTACAGCAGGTAGGACGCTTGCCTTGCCAGCCTGTGCTCAATCCCCAGCACTCAGTCAGTTCCCCCCAGCCCCGCCAGGAGTGAGCTCTGAGCACAGAGCCAGGAGTAAGCCCTGAGCACTTCAAGGTGTGGCCCAGTCGTTAACACAAAAGTGGCGTGTGTGTGTGTGTGTGTGTGTGTGTGTGTGTGTGTGTGTGTATTGAAATGTGACTCTAAAACAGACTTACGGGAATTGTATAAAGAGGGGTGAGGGGTATGACTCAGTGTTAGAGCACCTGCCCCACAGGTATCAGATCCTGAGTTTGATTCCCAGCACTGGGATGACAGAAAGAACAGTATCAGTGATTCCCAGACTCCCCAAGCACTCGCTTTCTCCACATTCATTTCATTCTCTCTCCCCTCCCCTCTCCTCCCCTCCCCCTCTGTCTTTCTCCTCAATCTCACACACATACACAATTTTGAGAATCAAGTCTTTTTTTTTTTTTTTGCTTTTGGGTCACACCCCAGTGATGCACAGGTTTTACTCCCAGCTCTCTGTACTCAGGAGTTATTCCTGGCACTGCTTGGGGTACCATATGGGATGCTGGGAATTGAACCTGGGTCGGCCGCATGCAGGGCAAACGCCCTACTTGCTGTGCTCTCGCTCCAGCCCTGAGAGAAATGTCTTTTGGGGGAGTGGTGGCAGGGTAGCTCCCAAGCAGTGCTCACGGTGCCCCAGGGTCACTCCTGGCCATACTTGTCAGTCAGGCTGAACAGTTCAGTGCAAGGCCAGAATGTCAGGGATCAACAGGGTGACCTTGGCGGGTAACCACAGTGCTACTTGAGGCTACCGGATCTGTACCTACAGTGCTCCGGGGACCCAGTGGTGCTGGGGTTCAGGTGCTGCCCAGCACTCAGCAGACATGAACTTCTGATTGCTGAGCCCCCCCCCCAGCTCCCATGATGCTGCTTGGGTTTGGGTAGGGGCAGCTCCCAAGTGGTGTTCAGGGGGCCCAGGGGGCCTTCTTGGTGACTCTCAGGTGACTGGACTTGTGGTTTTATACAAGGGCCCAAAGATGCAGTGCCACTGATGCCCTGTGGTTCCAGGGATTCCCAGGCCACCCCAGGGTGCTTAGGGCCCTCCAGGGCTGCCCTGGTGATGCTCAAGGTACCATGTGATTCCATGGATTGAAGCTAGCGCCTTAACTCCTGTGCCATCTTTCTGGTCCCTTTGTGCGTCTTGACCCCTACATCTTCAGACTTGAGTGTTTACAAAAAGTGGAAACATCCTGAGATGGAGAGATAGTACAATGGGGAAGGCCCTTGCGTGGCATGCAGCTGGCCCAGCTTGGATCCCTGCACCAGTGTGCTCCCCCAGACACCTCCAGGAGAGATCCCCGAGTGATGACAGGCGTGACCCAAAAAATGAATCCCCTCCTCTCCCAAAAAAAGAGAGATTCTGGGGCCGGAGCTATAGTACAGCTGATACTATAGTTTCCTCATGATTAGATTCAAGTCCTACATAATTTACGGGACTGCCACATAAAGGATGTGTCCCCAGTTCACACTAGATGAACTTGTCCCCTTACTGGTGATCTTAACATTGAATGCTTGCTTTGATGGTACCTGATGTGTTCTCAAAAGCTTTCTTCTCTGAGATGCTTTGACACTACATAGATCACTAGCTTCCCATCAGCCTGGATAATTCCTGCTGAATGAGGGGTGTGTGTGTGCGTGTGTATGTGTGTGTGTGTGTGTGTGTGTGTGTTTGTGTGTGTGGCACGCACACATGCTACTTATATGTGCAGGAGTGACCCTTGGCTGGGTTCAGGAAACGGTCAGGGATAGAAGTGGAGTTGCTCATGCAAGACAAGTGCCTTACCCCGTGCTATGTCTAAAATGTATTTCCCTCCGTCCCCTTTTGGGGCCATGCCTGGTGGTGGTCAAGGGCAACTTCAGGCTCGGTGATCATAGGTTGCTTCTGGTGGAGCTTGGGGGACCAGGTGGTGAGATCGGAAGCCAGCCCTCTGGCATACCCTGGCTTGGTCAGTCCTTTGTGAGTTAGCTACCATAGTCACCAGTGATTTTCTCGTTTTATTATTTGCTCTGTGTTTATAGTTGACTTTCCATGCAACGAGTTTTTCCTTCTGCTCTTCACATCAGTTTATATTAGCATGGTCTCAGAGATTCTTGGTTCAGTTGCTTTATTATGATGCTCAGATGAATTCAGTGGCCAGTGGCTGCCCCCGCAAACTGACTGCAGATCTGTCTGACGTATTCCCATCATGCTTTGAATGGCTTCTTTCATTTCTTGCAAACCAAGAGTTCCCGGGCTCATCTTTTACTTTCTCTACCCACTGAAATTAGCTTCCCCCCACCCCACCCCTGGTACACAGGGCTCTGCACTTGGGTCACTTGCCTGGTGTGGCTTGGTGGGCCATGTGAGCTGCTGGGGACCAAACCTACCCACTGTCCTGTTGCTCCAGCCCTAGTGATCCCCTTAAGGGACCTTACTCATTTTAAAGAACATAATTAGAATCTGAGGTTTGAGCACTTAGTCTCAGCTTGGTCTTTGCATATTGGCATCTCTGCCATACTTAGAACTGTTTCTCTGTCTCCTGCACACTGACGCTTCCAGTTTAGTCCCAGGACCACGGGATTATAAATTATGAATAAATTCAAGATGATCATTCTGTATCATTTCACCCCGGTGAAAAGCATGCCTGCTAATCAGGTTTTTGTATTGGTCTGCAGTTTTGTCTGTAGACTAAGGGTTGTCAACATTCTGAGTCTGAACGTTACTGAGGGGGCCAGAAAGATCACCGCGTGGGCTAGAGCCTGAGCTTCTCATTCAGTCCCTGGCCCCCGCCCTCAGCCAATGACTGCCTGAGCGAGCCCTGAGCACTGTTGCTGGGTATGGCCCAGGAACAAAAACAAAAGAAACCATCACTTGGTAAAAAAAATGGAAGCATTTCCAAAATGGAGTGAAAAATTGGTCTTCCTGCCAGCCCAGTGTCCCTGGGACCCCAGGGACACCCACACATGCAGGCAGCACTCCCTGCCCCTGCCCTGCAGGCCTCTCTGCCACCACCAGGGACTGTTTTCCTTCATTCTGTAACTCGAGGCTCAGAGGCTCTTTTACATCAGGATGTATCGAACCGCCTTTACGTCTGCTGCTGTAATCGATCACACATAATCAGTCACTGCTTGGTTCCCTCTTTTTGACTAGGGGATCAAGTAGTAACAGAGCCTCAAGGCGGGGAGAAAACCCTCAGCCCTCACACATCTCATTAGAGAGAGGTGACAAGAAGCCTGCAGAGACAGCTCCAGAGTGGTCTTCTGGTGACCTTTAATGGAAAAAAGTATTGGAAACAGAGTCGGTTATATGTTGTCAAGGGTGGTCCTGCCGGGGGCTTTCTATGAGGAGCTGGAAGCATGAGGCACGTGAGGTATGGCTAACCCTGTCGGGGGTGGCAGGAGTTGGGAACGTACTGAGGTGTCAGCAGGACCCAGCCCCCCCGGACCAGAAACAGTGTAGTGAGTCTTTAACTTAATTTCATTGTCAGTTAAGTATGTTATTATATTTTAGTTAGTGCTTCTGGGTAAAACGTATGTTACCATATAGAATGCGGCAGTCAATTAAAATACCAGCATCGTGGGCCTGTACTAATTGTTTACTTGGGGAAATTGAATTTAGCAGGGTGTTTGTTTATCTGTTTTTTTTATTTTTTA